GAGGATGATGCACTGAATGCTGCAGAGCTGTACTCTTAACCATGGTTAATGTGGTAAATTTTATGCCACATATAGTTTCCCACAATAAAAAAGGAAAATAGTATAAAAGCCAACTGATCATGGAGACTGCTCATTTTATGTTTATAGTTTTGTAGTGCCAGAGATGGAGCCCAGGGCCTCATGTATGCCAGACAAGAGTTCTGCCTCTGAGCTGGACCCCCGGCCCAGGACAGTATGTAATGTACTCACTGAAGGTTTCCATTAGAAGAGGAAGGCAGTGATACGGAAAGACACCGACCGTGGACCTGCTTCACAGGCTGAACAGTGTGCAGTGTGGCTGGCGCTCAGAGACGGGCACGTGTGGTGGTTAAGAGCAAGGGCTTGGTGCCAGATTGCTTGCGTTCAAATCGCTGCATGCTCTGTGACTTTGGACGAGTCATTTAATCTCCCTGTGCCTCAGTTCCACCTTGGTGGACGGGCGACCCGCTAGTCCCAACTCCCGGTTGTTGCAGAGATTAACTAAATTAGGAGATACAAAGCTCGAGACAGAGCACTGGGATGAGGCTGGATGAGTGGAGCGGGTGAATGGGAGTGGAGGGACGAGCGGACCTGAGTCGGAGGTCAGCGCTGCAGCTCTCGTCTCCTCTTGGCTCTCGGCACCGGCTTTCTCATGTGTCCTGTGGGAACAGGTTTCTAGTGTGAGATCTAGTAGTTCATGGGAGGGAGCCTGCTCAGCAAAGCAGAGAAGCATGAGTTGTTGCGGTGGCTTTGCCCTGGCCTTTAGCTGTGGCGCTGGCCTGGCTGGGGTCCATGTGGGTGGGATCGGGTCTAGGACTCTGGGCGCCAGGAGGTCCTGCAGTCAGCCCTGCTGCAATCTGTCAGGCTGCTGCCCGCTGGTGCAGGTGGGGAAGGTGGTGTTTGACCCCAAGGGCCATGACACAGCCTGGCTCAGAAACGCAGGGCTGCTTAGCTGGCACAGATGGGAAGGGAGGATCGAGGGGCTGCTGGGGAGCCTCTGTTTGTGAGGGACCTGGGACCTCAGGATGGTGCCAGCCACTCAAGGCCAAGACCCTACGGTTACGCTAGACAGCCTCAGGGCCCGGGTGGTAAGGAGGACCGCGTCCATTCTTCCTTCAGGGCCCTCAGGGCCGCTTCCTCTCTCTGACATGAGTTACCCTGTGTGGAAAGAACCTCCCCACTTCCCAGGCGTGCTGGGCGAACAAGACAATGGAAACGAAGTTACTCTGGCAGATGATTAAATCCCGTAAAAATAGCACTCATTTGAATTCCTTCCTCTATTTTAGTCAACCACACTAAGCACGTTCTATGAGTCAAATATTTTATATATGTGTATCTCATTTAACCCACTATATTAAGCCAAGTACTCTCACAGAGCCCCAGATTTCAGGCACTTATGACAGTTAGGTCTGTTACTCACGTCTGAATCCAGTACAACTCATCGGCTTGGCATGTGCCATGTGCCATGTTCAGGGACCATGTTCCTCTACAGCATGGCTTTGTCATCTTCTTGGGTTTCTCTGCCCTCCACCAGATCCCCTCTGGGAGGCCTTGGGGCCAGGAGAAATGAGGCTCACCATCCCCACCTTCAGTCCACCACCCAGCACGTGCTTTCAGGGGCCCCTGACTGTGGGGAGCATGGGAGGTACAGATCTAACTGTCCTCTCGGGGAAAAGCAGACGAAGTCAGGGGACACCAAACACTGCCTCTGCCCCACTCCCGCAGCAACCCATTTTACTGATGGAGAAACTAAGGCTGGGCAGCGTAATTTTCCCAGGGCTACACATGGACAGAGTGGCAGAATTGAGATTTGTCCCCCTGCTTGTTTTTTTTTTTTTTTAAATTTCATCTTCTTTTTCTTTTTCTCACCCTCTGAAGGTACTGCAGTGTTTTTAGAGTTTAACTCATTTCCTGTGTTGTCTCATTTCCTTAGGAATCCTATTCTCTATACGTGTGTGTATGCTCACTGAGCAAGGCTCTTCTTCATTTAGGGCCTCCAAATATCAGTGTATGTATAGCAGAGTAACTACATCATTTATGGGTCTCAATGCAAAATGAAAATTCAAGATCCTCCTTCAAAAAGTGACAAAAAGAGCCAAGTGAGGTGGCACACACCTATAATCCCGGCACTTGGGGACTGTGAGTTTGAACTTAGCGACTTAATGACCCTGTCTCAAAGTAATTTGAAAGATTTTTAAAAGGCTAGGGATGTGGTAAGTATGAAGGGCTTGGGTTCAAACCCAATACAGCAACACACACACACACAAACACACACACACACACACCCTACTACAAACCATAAAAACCTCTCGTCCCTCTTTTCTGTAGGGTCTCCTTTCCCTCCCTGTCTCCCTCTCCCCCGCTTCTCTGTCTCTGTCTTCCTCTTCCTCTCTCCCACCCCCGCAGGTTGTTTTTATTTGCTGTTTAGTGTCACACACCTTGGCCCTGGGGACAACTGCAGGGTCTCACAGGCACCTAGAGCTGGGCAGCTCAGCCGGGCCCTGTCCATCCTCCCCCATCTTTCCAGAGTGGAGGGTGGCAGTGGTCACTGAGTGGTCCACAAGGGGACAGGAGGCAGCAGGTGGCAGGGCCACGTGTGACCTGAGGCTGCAGGCCCCTAGCATGTGCTCCACTGTCCACTGCTGTCCGTGTACACAGCGCAGATTAAAGCTGGGTCCATGCCCCAGACCCTAGGACAAGGTCTCTTTCTCGGTGCTGCTGGTAGCGTGTCTTTGGAGTCCCCTTTTTGGGTTGTTTTTCTGGGCGCATTTGTGTTCCTAGGGAAGGGGTCTCCATCCTCCTGTCTGTGTTATCCTGGGGCTGGACACAGAAAAGCCCACCGCTGGGCTGCTCTGACCCTAACTCTGCAGAATAAACCTCTATCTTCCGAGCAGGAGCTTAGGGTCTCCCCGCTCACAGCCCTGCTCCACCGAGCTTTCCTAGTGCCCAAGCCCACTTGCCTCCCATTGAGCCCCATCTGCAACACGTGGGGCTCACTGCTGCCCCCCACAGCACTGCTGGTCACTGGTTCATCAGCTCTCCACACTCAAAGTTGTGTGCGTCTCCTGCCTGCTTCCATGAGGTCTATTCCTTGGTCATGCTCTGCTGGAAGGTTTGGAGGGAAGAGGAGAACCCTGTGCATCGCATCATGTTTAACCAGGAATCGCTTGAGCCTTGGGTAGATTTCCATTTCAGAATGTGAGTCTCCTCCACCAACACTTACTAGGCACCGACTGTGTGCCAAGTACTGTGGAAGGTGTCAGGAGCTGGTGCTGAAAAGCAAGTTCCTACCTCCCAGAGGCTGGACTGCAAACCCAAAGGAGACAACAGAGAAATGGAAAATTATGATTAGGGGTTCTGGGGGAAAGCCATGAGTTTGCCCAGGCCCAGAGTTTCATCTTGACCCCAAACTTGGACTTGCAGGATGCACTTCAGCGAGAAAAGAACTAGACTTGCATAATTCTTTTCCTCTCTGTTATATGTTCTCAGTTATCTTTCTGTTTTTCTTTTCTTTTTCGAGACAGGCTCTTACTATGTAGTCCCAGCTGGCCTTGAACTCACTCACGTTGCTCAGGCCGGCCTGGAGCTCACGGCCGTCCTCCTGCCATCGCCTCCTGAGTGCTGAGATTTACAGGCGTGAGCCACCTCACCCGCTTACTTACCTTTCTGATCACAGTGATTCTGCATTTGTTTTATTATTCTGTCTTCAATCCTGTTTCCCTATTATTATTTTCTTAAAAACTTACTGCTTCTAATCTTCTTGGCCTGAAATAGAAGACAATCAAGTGTGTTTGCAGCATATCTAAAATAAGCATTAATTAAGCTGTGAATTAAGGTTTGAGAGACTCAGCTGTGAGTAAAATGTATCAACTTTAACATCAACTGTATAACTTCTATTTTTACTACCCAGTAGCCTTCTTAACTTAAGCAGCTTCCTTTATACTCCAGATGACCACGGGTGCATGTAAATGAAGCCTAACATTGGGACAATTTAAGCATCAGCTGTAGGTGGCCTTTTTCTTCCAGCTCTGTTCCCTTCTTGCTCCATTAAAAAAGCACTGGCCTTTGGTTTGCCCGCAGTGCCCATTTTTATTTACTGTGTTTTATTGATTCAAAAAGACATATTTCATCATATTTTAAAATCTTTAAAATAGGATATGTCTTATAACTGTTGGGACCTTGGCATTAGATCACACTTTTCTTTCTTCTGTGGTACACGATAGTGTATCTTAGGACCAAGGTCGTCTTAGATTTAATGGAATTGAATGTTTATATCATTTGAAAGAATTGACAAATTGTTCTGTTTTCCCAACTTGCCCTTCATCCGTGGCTGTGCTAGAGAGAAATATTATCACACATGTGAGAGGGACTTTTATCTCCCTAGAACCTTCTTACATTATAACAACAGTAGTAATAATGATATCAGCAGCAGTAAAGGCTTACAAAGCACTGCTATGTGTTGACACTGCTTCGAGCACTTTTCAGAGACCTCTCCAAAAATCCTAGGTCGGTAACACGGCAGTTATCCCCGTTTCCAGAGGAGGAAACTGAGGCTCAGTGGCGGCAGTGGCAAAGCGAACAATCTGTTCAGCCTGTCTCTGAAAAAAAGTTACACTATGCTGCCACTAGTGATTCTGGGAGCTAAAGTATTATTATTTAGATTAGCGGATTTTACCTGATTGTACCTTCAAATTAACTAGGAAGCTTTGGGGAAACATAGAAAGGTTTCTCCAAGCTGTTTTAACAGACTGCCACAGCACAGTCCCTGGCTGAATTCAGGGATTGTGTGACGCCCTAGCTGTGCCATTTGGGATCGGTGGCCTTCTTACCCTCTGACTTCCTGATGGCTGCTGAGCCTGGGGTGACTTGGACAGCTGGAGCCTTTTACGCTGCTGGAGCTTGATCACTCAAGAAAATAAACCTCACAGAGTTTAAATTGATGTATTTACTTTTAATTTTTATTACTCTCCCCTCTCTTGCAGCTCTGGAGCGCACAGAAAATCAAGCAGGTAACCAGGTTTGGGATTATCTTCCTTCTTCCCTGCTTTCCTGGACCCCTCCCACCCCATCCCAGGGATTAGCCCCTCCTCCACACCATTAGGAGCCTTCTCCCTCCTGTTTGCCCCTGGCTGCCTTCCTCCTCCTTCCACCCCAGAGCCCAAAGGCCTGTTCTCCTGCAGCCTGGAGCTCCGGCCAAGCTGGCCCTTCTCTGGGTGCTCTGAGTTCCTGCAAAGCCAGGCTCTGTTCACAAAATCCTGATTATATGCCTGTTGTGTGCAGGGCAAAGGGAGACAAAGCCCTTGAAGTACATGCAGTTTGGGTCCCTGTGGGCTTTTAGTCTCTGCTGTACTCGGCTTCGAGGATTAGTCAGAGGAGGGTGCTATTGATGGTCCATGTGTTGGTTTTCTCTTGCCCTGAGTGGGGGAGTTGGGGAAAGGCTGCCTGACCAGAAGGCCACATACCGTCACTGGTATCGGTCTTCCTGGGAAGATGTCCTTTTCTCCACTCTCTTCCCCTAATCCCTCTGCCCACCCCGCTGCCACGCTCTGTTCCTGACTCTTTGCAGGCTATTCTACACCCCGACACCAATGAGAAGATCTTCATGCCTTTTAGAATGTCAGGTAAGCTCCTGGGCCCATCTGGTTCTGCTCAGCCTGGGGAGCTGGCAGTGGCCACAGGTCCAGGGGCATCTACCTGTGCTAGGTTGGGGAGGGGATGGAGCCCATCACAAATGGGGCCACCCTGGCACTTTGGCTCAACTGTACAAGACCAGCCAGGCTCAGGATCTCCTGGGACACTCACCTGCTCTTTTCTGCCTGAGCAGTTGGGGTGGAGCTGTGTTTGCTCCATGTGAATCTGGTGTCCCCCACCTCCACGCCTACACGGTGATTGGTAGAGAGGCATAAATCCTGTAGATCTGGGTTTTGGGGCCTGGGGAGAACCTGCATGTATGCTGGCCAGGTCTGGTTTTGAGAGCTTTTAGAGCTTGTCCAGAGTCACTGTGCAGAGGGTCACACTCACCAGTGTGCTGACACCTCCTCTTTGTGATTTCCCTATGCAGTGCGCAGACCAATTCTGAGTCACAAGGGTGGTGTGGAGGACTGCCTGCTGCTGCCTTGGGCAGGCTCTCAGTTGGAGAAAGAGACCTCAGATGAGTCAGTCAGACTCCCACCCCCAGAGAGCCTGACCTTGCCAGGGAGAGAATAAACAGCCAGGGAATGGAAGATCTTGTGGACCACCTAGCATTCAGTGATCCCTAGCTTTCCCTGAAGAACTCTGGGAACAAAGGCTCTGAGCATCTTGGAGACAGTTTAGATGGTGCCTAAGCCCTGCAGGCTCGTGCCCAGAGCCTGGCTTCTCTTGTAATTCTGGACCTTTTAAAGTTATATATTCCTTGGAGGCCCAACCAGAGTTGGGATCTCCCAGAAGAAGGGAGCAGGCAGTGAGTGAGGACTCAGGAGTGATCCTTGGTTTAGATGCAGCTCAGGAGAGCATGCTGCCTGCTGCCTGCCTGCCAGCTGACTGGCTGCCCAGCTTCGAGGCTGGGGACAAGGGCCTGTCTTGGCAGTGGGACTGGCAGAAGCTCCCTGGGCGATCACATGCAGCGAGGAGCTGGGGGGTCCATGCCTACCTCCACAATCCCCTGGCACTGTCCAGCCCAGGGACTAGGGAGTTAAGCTCAAACACCAAGAGGTGTCTGTCACAGGTAGGCAGGGAGTTCTCTTTCCCAAAATGGTTGTAATGTTGGGGAAGTAAAGAAAGACAAGCTGATGGAACCCTTCTGAGGACCAGTTTGGTGTAGGGCTTGATGGCAGGGGGTGCAGTGTCTCCTGCCGGAAGTTGCTGAGTACCTACTTGGGGTCCCGGGGAGCAGCCTGGCCTGCAGGAGGAGGGGAGTGAGAGCACTTGGCTGCAGAGCAACTGAGAGAGGAGGCTGGGGACACAGGGCCCTCTGCCATGGCAAGGACTGAGCTGGGGGTGTGGGGGAAGTCTGAGGGATGGAGGGTGCCTCCAGCCTAACTGTCCTGAGTGCCTTTGCCAGTGCCAGTGATCAGGCCAAGCCTGGCAGGCTCTTGACCTGACTCTCTCCTATTTTCTTTCCCCACTCACAGGTTATATTCCTTTTGGAACGCCAATTGTAAGTATTTCCTTCAAAACAATTTCTTGTGTAACACAATTTTGAATGTACAATTTTACATCATTGTTCTTAGAGATTTGATTGATTTGATTTGATTTTTGGTTTTTGAGACAGGGTCTTGCTATGCAGTTCAGGCTGACCTTGAACTCACTGTGTAGCGAAGGTTGGCATCAAACTCACGACAGTCTTTCTGCCTCAGCCTCCCAGGTGCTGGGATTATAGGTGTACACAGCTGTTGCCACCACCATGCCCGGCCCATTCATAGAGATGTGACTGAGTTTTTTTATTTAGTACAAATTCCCAGAGAAGAACTTTTGGGTAACACCGGATCAGCTTGCTGTGCACTGACTGATCACCAAGCTCCTTTGATACAGGTGTGCCTACCTCCTCCCTCCAAAAGTTGGAAAAGGCCTCTCCCTGCACCTTCTCTACCCACAGAATTGCCAGGGAAATGAGGAAAGTTTTCTAAAGGAACAGAGGAGTAAGAATATATAGGAGCCTGCTGAAAGTTAAAGTTAAAAATTAATGCAAAGAGGGTTTTGGGTATTCTTTTTGTTCAGTTTTGGAATCAAGGTTAGCCTGTGTTCATTATTTTCTTTCCTGTGTTAAGTATTTCACGTTATGAATATGGATAAGTCTCAAAAACAGTGTTAAATGAAAAAATAGTAGCACAGTAGTAATACTCTCTGATGTCATGTAGATAATGTTTAAAAATACGCAAAGCAATATTATATATAGTTTATGTATATTTCCTATGTATCTGTGAAAACATTCAGTGGAGTGATAATTCCTGGTGCTGTTCTCCTCTGGGGTGAGAAGGTGATGCAATCCAGCGGCAAAGTAGAGGTGCTTCATTGGGTTTGTGCTGTTTCATCTTTCAGAAAGGGCAATTTTTCACAAAAATATGAAAAATCATAAGGCCTGACAACACATGGATGCTTATAACATCCCCTAAACTTTTTGATACCGTTGAAATCTTTCATTATACACATTTTAAAAATTGTTTCCCCAGATTATATTTTCTAATTTTAAAAATTTTAAATGGCATATCTGTAGGGGATATAGTGTGATATTTTGACATCTGCATATAATTCATAATGACCAAATCAGGGTAATTAGCATCTCTCTTTTTTTAGCATCTCTTCTTTAAATTCTTGGCAGAGGCCTTTCAAACTCCTTTCTTTTAGTTCTTAATCAAATCTATATGTGAACTATAGTTACCCTGCTCTGTTACAGAAGAGTAGAAATTTTCCCTTGTACTTAACTGTATGCATATAATTTAATTATATAAAGAGAGGTATTATTATTCACATCACCATTCATACGTAGTTTCCCTGAAACTATTACTCTTCTGAAATATTTTGAAAAAAGATTATAAATTCCCCACCATAATTGTGCGCGTGTTTAATTTTTTTGCATTTTTTGCAATGTATGTATTTCAGTTCAATGGTGTTTGGTATGTTTGTGACCGTTTTATTTTCTTGATAGTATCATTCTCACACACGTGAAATATCTCTGTTTTATTGAATATTTTTGCCTTAAATCTGTTCATCGCATGTTAATTTCTATTCTTGTTTTGTTTCATCTGTTTATCTCGTATATCATTGCCTATATATTTATGCCAGAGTCATTTGTTTTCTGTATCATTTTTTATAACAGGTTTCCTTTGGACCAAAATTGTTCAACTTTATTTTTTTAAGCAATTTGAGAAAATTAGCTTTAATTTTGGAATATTGTTTTTTAATATTTCCCTTTTTACCCAATTTGAGAATATTATCTTTAATGAAATGATGGAATCAATTTGTATTTGTTCTACCACTGATTGGTGTGACCTCTTATTCTAGCCATCAAATGGGTTTTTTGCTGGTTTGTTTATGAAGTTTTTCTTATTTCTATTTCTGACTTACACTAGAGTAATTGCTTCCATTAGACCTTTTAATTTCTTAAGGAGTGTGGAAAGGAAGCATCTTAACTAACTGTAATTACCATTCAGCTATAGTATTTCATATCACAGAGATATTTTATACCTTATAAATATCAAGAATTAGATAATAAGTATGATTTCCCCAGCCTGGCTCACATAGGCAGATACTTTTAGCATGTCATTTTATTCTAATCTTTGTCATTTTAACTCTATATATCCACCAAGTTTTTGGAAATAACCTGGAGTCTTGTCTGATTTATGACACCCTTATTAAAATTTATTGATAGCTATACTAAATTTTATAGCTAATTAGGTTTGTGTGTTTTGTATTTGGCTAGCATACATTTTTAAATGACATTCAGTGAATATGGACAACCCCCTTTCTGGACCTCTAGGCTACCTAGAAATGTCTGTTTTTCCCTTTTTTACATGAACAATAGTTTGCCTGGTTTTCTTTTATAAGTAAACTTTCTCCTTTCCTTTGGAATCATTTGACATTTTTTTCTTTAGAATTTAAAAATATCTCTAGGATTTAAAATTTTCTTCTCTGTATGTTTTATAAAATTATTCAAGTAATACATTAATATGTTCTTTGGGATTCAAAAATACTTTTAAGAAATTTTTATATAAAATATTTTTAAAGTTCTGCAAGTAATACATCAATGTCCTCTTTGCTCAGAATTTAAACAACACAAACAAAAGTAAAAGTCTTTCTGGTGACCCTCCACCCCAAATCTGTGGCCACACACATCCTCTGTTAGGAGCTCAGTGTGAGTTTCTTTACCTTTATCTAGGCCTTTGCGTGTGCATGTTAATCCTTCATTGAAAAGTGTTTTCTTGGAGCCACTGTAACTTGTGTCTCTGGTCCCAATTACTTGGGAGGCTGAAAATTGCAACTCACTGGAGCCCAGGAGTTCCAGACTGAGCTGAGCAGCACAGGAGAATCCAGTCACCCCAAATAAAAGCACATCTAGGGGTGTAGCTTGGTGGTATAGCATATTTTGAACCTGGGTTTATCTTTTACCACCAAAAACAACAGTTATAACAACAACAAAAAAGAAAAAATGTTTTTGTCTTGTGGAGCTTTTCATTAAGCATATAGCAGTATTTTTATCGGCTTTTAGCTTATTACACTTAGCAGTTACATTCATTTGTTTTTCTGCTGAGTAGTGTTCTTTCCCTCATTTTAAATCGCTTCTGAGTATTTGCTGTTAAAAGCAACCCTACTGTAACAGATCCTCCCAAAGCATGAGGGTTTCTCCAGGGCGCCTTGTGAGTGAGCCTGCTGCACGAAGGACCCTCTGCAGTCACTTTTCAGGTATTGGTGAATTTCCCTGCCAAAAGGAGAGTCTCCTCAGACCTGCACAGTGCTGGCATTGAGCTTTTTGAAGTTTTTACCAATTTAACGGGGGGTGGAGGGCTGGCTTTGTATTATGTCTTTAACTTTTAGTTCCCTGAAAACTAAGAAGATTGTGACTTTTTTTTCATAGATATTTATCGGTTATTTCTTCTATGCATTACTTGTATAAACTACTTGGTCCATTGTTCCATAGGCTCTATTTTGCTAATTTATTTGCAGAAGATATGATATTAATCTTTAGAATTACAAGTGCATTGCAGATCTCTTCTCTGGCTAAAATCTCTGGTGCCTTTGTTATAGAAAAATGTGCAATGTTGATATTTTAAAATGTAATGACCTTCTGCTGATTGATTTTGAGTTTGTTTTGCTCTTTACCTACTTCTCCTTTGTTAAAATTACTGAATTTGTGAGAATTATGTTTACAAATCAACTCTGGGGTGTATTTATTGATTTTTCTACTTTATCTTCATTTCTGCTTTCATTTTATGATATCTCCTTTCTCTTTTTTTGCTTGTTTGTGATTGGTTTTCTTACTTTTTGCCTTAAATGCTTAATTTATTCTCGTTCCTTCCCCCTAATGAAAGTGCTTAGGGCTGTGATTTTTTACTGCATCTAATATGTTTCCACATATATGATTCTGTTTTGTTATTTTCTAAGTAAGTTTGAAATTATAGTTTCAGCCCCCTCTTTAGTCAATTAGTCAGAAGAACATATTTTACAATCTAAGTGGTTGAGTTTTTTTGTTTTTTTTGTTTTTGGTACCGGGGATCGAACTCATGACCTCACACTTGCCAGGCAGGCGCTTATGCCGCTGAGCTAAATCCCCGGCCCTGAGATTTTTTAAAAATGTATTCTTTTATAGGTTATTTTCAGTGATCTCTGTAATTCTGTCATTCTTTCCTTGTGGCACAGTATGTAATTATATCAATTAAGAGTAAGATCACATGCACATAACAAAAAGTCCAAAATAACAGGAGCTTAAACAAAATAGTTTATTTTTCTCTTACATTGAATGGTTTATTATTCTTTCACTTCTGCCTATTATTAGTGGTAGGCAGAATCCCCACAATATCATCAGGTACCCTGTCTTCCATTTTTCTACATACCTCTTTCTCAGTGCAGGTTTCTAGTGTAAAAGTCACTCAACAGACCAGTATAGCTGCTGGAGTTCCAGTCATCACATATGTATTCCAGGGAGGATAAAGACAAGAGGAGTGTGAAAGGATGAATCGCCCAACTAAGTCAACTTTCTTTAAAGCAGTTTCTTGAAAGTTCCACAAAGCAGTTATGCTTACATTTCATGTTGAATTTAGCTGGTAAATAGTTCAGTTATATAGTAATTTTAATGAGAAAGAAGAATAATTAATAGATAAGCAAACAACAGTCTGCCATAATAAATTTTTAGGGCTGGGAATATTGCCCAGTGGCACAGCACCTGTATGGCAAGCACAAGGTCCTGAGTTCGATTCCCTGTCCCTCCCCAAAAAAGGAGTAATTTTTAAAAGTCCCATCAACACATGAAAAGAAGAGATGTAGCATATATAGCACTAGGCAGTATCATCTGTTTTCAAAGCAGAGAGCGTTTGAGCTGACAGGCGAATGTGTGGCTGGTTTCCCTGCAAAAGGCCGAGGAGACTCTTGCAGAGCTGAAGGCTGCCATCAGAGTGACCCAGCTAAACCAAGAGATCCTCCCTGTGCTTCCCCACTCTCTGGTCA